TCTCCTGAAGTCCACAACAATCTCCTTCTTAATATTCACAAAAGCTTGCATGAAGAGAAAAGCTTCAAGAAGAGATTTAAAAGAAGAGTTGTAGTTTGAGTTCACTAGGTAGTGAGTTCCATAGTGTGGTAGCTCTAATGGCGCCACACAATCGCCTTTTGTCATACAGCGTAACCTGGGGATAACCAGCAAGGCTGCATCCGCGGATCTCAAGGGTTGTGGGGGCACATACAAGGATAATAAATAAGAGATGTTTGTGGGAGCAAACTTTAAAAAAAGGCTTTAAAAGTAAGTTCTAAAATTTTAAAATCAATTTGAAATTTGACAGGGAGCCAATGCAGGGAGGCCAGGGGTGATGTGTTCATATTTCCTTGTCCCATGTCCCCAAGTCAAGCAGCAGCATTCTGTACCAGCTGGAGATGGTGGAGGGAGCCCTGGGTGATACTGGACTAAAGTGCATTACAGTAATCCAGCCTCGAAAAAATAAAAGTGTTTACTACTTTTTTTCAGACCACCAGAGGATAAAAATTAGCTGAATAAAACAAGAACAACAAATAACATTTTTGACTTGCTTGTCAAAGCAGAGGTTCCTAGCAGCCTGTTGCTCCAAGCGAGCTCATGAAAGTTGGGGGGCCAAACAGGATCATCATTAAATTTCAGAAAGTTTTGTGACATCCAGGATTAAATGTCAGAGAGGCAAGTTGTGAGGTTTGCTTGGCTGAGTATCGTTGGCATAAAAATGGTAGAGTACATCATGTTTTTGGATGACCTGGCCAAGAGGTAGCATGTATATAGAGAAGAGAAGAACTGAACCCTGAGGGACACCACAGCTCACTGATCGTGATGACACACAATTACAGACAAGCACACCATCGAAAATCTTCATCTTAAGACTAACTTAAGTCAGTATAAAACTGAGAACATTTTTATAAATGAAGCCCCTGATCTGTATTGAGACACACACTCAACAAGCTATTAACTATCTATTGCATGAAAGTCAAAAACATC